CAGGAGGTGTGTGAGGGGGTGTGTGAGGGCTGCAGGTGTGGCAGCGCCCGCGTGGGAAAGCAAAGAGGGCAGGGGGTGATGAAGGAGGTGATGGAGAAAGGCTGAGGGTGCCCGTGTGTGTGGGACACGGGAGGCTGAGACAGAGGGAAGGGGAGGGTGTGGGTGGGTCTGTGCCTGTCTGTGTGCGTGTGCACGGAGGGGGAGTAAGATGGATGCATGCATAGGGGTGTGAGTATCCATAGGCATATGTCGTGAGGGATGAGTTACAGGTGCATGTGTACACATATATGCAAGTGTGTTCAGGTGTGTGAATGTGTTAGAGGCTGTGCCTGTGGCTACAGGATAGCAGGGGTTGTGTTTGGAGAGTGAGGGTATCCAGGCAGCTCATCCTTGTGGCTCCCCATGGGGCAGGACACAGCACAGGATTGGGGCTGGCCATGGGGCAGGTGTGGGGATACCATTGAGCAGGGTTGGGGTGGAGTGTGGTGGCATCATAGGGCAGACTATGGGGCAGCCTGAGTGCCAGTCAGGCCCTGGAGCAGGGGCCTTCCCCTCACCCAGCACTCCCACTCCATTGTATGCTGCCCAGTGCAGCTCCAGCAGCCTCCAGCAGGAAGGAAACTGAGGCACCGACATGTCTGTGGCTGTTCCACCACACTGCCACCCTATGGCTCCAGGGGCACCAGGAGCACACTGCAATACAGGAGAAGGTGAGGAGTGCCTGGTTCAGCACAGCCCCCTTCCTCTGCTCACCCACTGCCCCCATCTCTCCCCCCCAGATCGACCAGGATGGGCTGACTCTTCCTGAACGGACCCTCTACCTGGGGCAGGATGAGGAGAGCGAGAAGGTGAGGGGGGGGCACACTGTTGCCACTGGGACACCAGGAGAGAGACCAGCACCCAGCATGAGGTGTCAGATAGAGGGCACCCCACTGCAGCAATGCCAGGGGCTGGGGTGCTGCAGGGCAGTGTGGGGTGGCACTCAGCATCCCTTCCCTCTGCACAGATCCTGGCTGCATACCGGGTGTTCATGGAGCGACTGCTCACCCTCCTGGGGGCTGAGAATGTGGAGCAGAAAGCCCAGGAGATCCTGCAGCTGGAGCAACACCTTGCCAATGTGAGGGGGATGGGGTGCCCTTACCCAGTCCTTGGACACCCCACTTACAAATTTTTGGGGCCCTCCGTGTCTGGTCCTAAGGGACCCCATTACAATTCCTCCTTGGGGACCTCCTCTCCAGCTCTTGGGGACCTTCATGCCTGGCCCTTGGGGAACTCAGCCCCTTGAGGACCCCCATGGTGGAGCCTCGGGGACCGAGCCCCACATCTTGAGAACCCCCAGTTCCAGCCCTTGGGACAACCACTCCAGCCCCACATCCACCCTTGTGAACCCACTCTAGGCCCTGGGGGACTTCATACCAAGGTCTTGGAAACCCCGTTTGGTCCTTGTGGGACCCTTGTGCCCATCCCTTGCGTACCCCAGTTCCTTGAGGACGCTACGATCAGCTCCACTGGCAGCAGAGGGTTCCTGGGGCAGGGAGTGGGAAGGCTGTGGGTCAGTAACCCCTCTTGCCCCAGAGCTGTGCCCCATCCCAGTGCTCTGTCCCTGTGTCACGCTCAGAGTGGGCAGTGGGATGGTGACAGCCATGCCCACTCTGTGCAGATCACGGTGTCTGAGTACGATGACGTGCGGAGGGATGTCAGCAGCATGTACCACAAAGTGACCCTGGGTGAGCTGCAGCGCATCACCCCTACGGTGAGTACCCCCCCTGCCAGCCTGTCACCCCTTTCCCCCATCTGCCCTGTGCCCCACATTTGTCCCTGTCCCCCTGCTCCATGCCCTTGCTGCACCCCCCCTTTTGCCCCTAGTTAAGTTTACTTGAGGGTGATGAATCCACCTTGCACTTTTGTGGGTGGGAGGGGGTGGCAAGGAGTGGGGGTCCCTGTGCCCCCCTGACAGTGCCTGACCTGGCAGCTCAAGTGGAAGCGCTTGCTGGACCGCATCTTCCACGACAACTTCTCGGAGGAGGAGGAGGTGGTGCTGCTGGCCGCCGACTACATGCACAAGGTGTCCGACCTCATCCGTGTGACACCCAGCAGGTGAGGGGGGTTGGCACCCCCTGTGCCCCTGGCACCTTTCCCAGCCTGGCACAGGGTGTCTGTGGCTGGTCCTCCCCCTCCATCACCTTCTTCCTGGGAAGGCTGGGCTGGGCACAGGAAACCTGAGAAATCTCCTAGGAGAAGGCACTGTTGTGAGCCCCACAGCATCCTGGTCATGTCTGGACACCCACTGGGCCACCCATGCTAGAGGTTACCAGGCTCAGCACACATTCGGGAGGGCCATGTCCCCCCTGTGTCCCCGAGCAGGGGTATCCCCATCCTGGCACATGCTCCTGCCCTCCCTGTGTGCCCGAGGACATGCCCAGGGCTGATCTTGCCCCCTGTCACCAGGATCCTTCACAACTACATGCTGTGGCGCATCGTGGTGGTGCTGAGCGAGCACCTCTCCACCCCCTTCCGTGACGCCATCCACGAGCTCTCCAAGGAGATGGAGGGCAACGAGAAGCAGCTTGAGCCGGGTAAGATCTGCCTGAGCCAGGCCAACAAGCACTTCGGCATGGCCCTGGGTGCCCTCTTCGTTGAGGAGCACTTCTCCTCTGCCAGCAAAGCCAAGGTAGGTGATGCTGCCTATGGGCATGAAGCCACCACAACCCTCCTGTCACCTTGCCAAAGTGCCACTGCCACCCAGCACCCCACTGAGGGCTGTGTGGCGGGTGATGGACGGCGAGGATGCTGTACCAGCACTGTGGTGATCCATCACAGGTGCAACAGCTGGTGGAGGATATCAAATACATCCTGGACCACCGCCTGGATGAGCTGGACTGGATGGATGAGGAGACACGGAGAGCGGCCAGAGCAAAGGTAGTGGCCACCAGCATGAACCACTGTCCTTGCCTCCATCACCAGCCTGGGGTGGGGGCCTGAACCCACCACTCACTTTGCCTACAGCTCCGGTACATGATGGTGATGATTGGGTACCCTGATTTCCTGCTGAAGCCAGAGGCCATTGACAAGGAGTATGAGGCAAGGAATGGCCCAGGAGCACATGGGGAGGGGGCATGTGTAGGGGGAAGGTGTTCCCCACATCAGGGTCTGCAGAGATGCCACCCTAAAACAAGCCACCTCCTCATGCTCACTGTGCCCACCACTGGCAGGGTGCCCCACACGGGCAGTGCCATACTCTCCCTGGGGTCTGGGATGGTGTCTTCTTCCCCACATTGCAACCCGCCGAGCTTAGCCTCATTCTCAGCAAGGGCTGGGATTGCCAGCATGACCCAGGGACTCCACAGAGATGATGGAGAAGCAGCTGTCCCTGTGGGCACACAGCATGGGACATGAGGACAAATTTGTGCCATATCCAGCCCACGGCCACAACCCCACACTCTCTCTCACTAAGGCTCATGGGGGTGGGAGGGTGTTCCAGCCCTGCTAACCATGGACTTGGGGCTGGTATCCCCTCTGATGTGACTGTGCCCCCCAGTTTGAGGTGGATGAGAAGACCTACTTCAAGAACATCCTTAACAGCATCGCCTTCGGCATCAGGCTCTCGGTGAAGAAGATCCGTCAGGAGGTGGACAAATCCGCGTGGGTATCCCCTTGCCCTGGGAGGAACATGAGGGGGCACAGCATGGCCCCACCAATGCCCCCTGTTCCCATGCCCAGTTGCACCCCACAGGGTGAAGGGCACAGGACAAGCCAGGAATGCCCCCTTTTTCCCCAGCTGTGCAGAGGGGTGGCCTTTCCATGCCCCTTGGTGCCCCTGCAGCCCGGCACCGCTGTCTCTCCTTGCAGGTGGCTGCTGCCTCCCCAAGCACTGAATGCCTACTACCTGCCCAACAAGAACCAGATGGGTGAGCACTGCCCACCCCCTGATCAGCCCCTGGGGTGGGGGAGTGGCAAGGATCTGGGGTGGGGGCAGAGCCCAGAATCTCCTGGCACTGGCTGGTGCTATGGGTGGGTACAGGGCAGGGTAACCCCCAGTGCAATGTTCCTCTCTGTCCCTAGTGTTCCCTGCTGGCATCCTGCAGCCCACCCTCTATGACCCTGAGTTCCCACAGTGAGTGTGGGGCTGGGGGGTGGCCGGGGGGGTGTCAGGGTGGGCGATGGGGTGCCAATGTCCTGGGTCACCACCATCCCTGCCACCATCTTGCTCTCCACCCTCTCACCCCTGTTCCCCACCCAACAGGTCGCTGAACTATGGTGGGATTGGCACCATCATTGGGCATGAGCTGACCCACGGCTACGATGACTGGGGTGAGCGTCCCCCCATACCATGCCAGGGGGGGAGGTGGGTGGGCTGGGGGCAGCCAGGCAGGACGCCTGGATCCCTCGGGACTACTGGAGGTGGCGGTTGCCTTGGCAGGGGGGCAGTACGACCGGCACGGGAACCTGGTGCACTGGTGGACGGAGCGGTCGTACAGCAAGTTCCTGAAGAAGGCGCAGTGTATCGTCAACCTCTATGACAACTTCACTGTCTACAACCAGCGGGTGAGATGCCCCTCACCTGCTGGGCAATGCCCCCCAGGGCACACACTGCCCCGTGGGGGGGCCCTGCTGCTCTGTTGCCATGGCTGGGTGCCTGCAGGAGAGCCTGGCTCTGCTCTGCCCAGCCCTGAGACCCAGCGACTCATCACAGGTCAGCTTAGAAATTCCTCAGCGTGCTGAGTGGGGGCAACTGAGGAACAGCCTATGTGCCAGAATGGGGATGGGGGGATGCCTGGCTGAGGGGACATCTCTGTTCACCTGTCATTTCTCTTGGCAGGTGAACGGCAAACACACACTGGGGGAGAACATCGCTGACATGGGGGGGCTCAAACTCGCCTACTACGTAAGTGTCCCCCCACCCTGGGGTGTCACAGCCATGTGCCAGCTGCTTTTGCCATCCCCACTGAGTGAGCAGGAGATCCCCCAGCCCCTCCTTGCTCCCTGCAGCAGGGAGTGGGCATGATCCTGCTTGCTGGTTGCTGGGGGCCCTGAGGGGTGGGTTCAGGGTGGGTTTGGAGGAGGCCATGCTGAGGCCACCCTTTGTTCTCCAGGCCTACCAGAAGTGGGTGCGGGAACACGGACCTGAGCACCCCCTGCACCACATGAAATACACACACGACCAGCTCTTCTTCATCGCCTTTGCCCAGGTGAGCCCTTGTCCTCCCCACATGTAACAGGTACTGGGGCAGGAGGGTCACCCTGTGTGGGTGGCCCAAAGGGATGGTGAGACAGCCCTGGGGGACCCAGTGCCAATAGCCAGGAGTCAGGCTCAGCTGCATCAGCAGGTCCTGGTCTCAGGGTACCAGGCACAGCCCTGCACAGAGCACCCCACATTTCCCTGTTGCTCCTGGGGACCCTACAATAACAAACGTGTGTGTCCCCCATCATCTCCAGTAGCCCCATGATCCCAAACTTCTAGGAGAACCCTACAGCCAGGCAGCTCACAAAACAGGAGACCCTATAACAACAAACATGCCTCCACACTCTCTCAACCTACCTGTACCACATACACAGGCTCCTGGGAGACTCTACAATAACAATTACAACTGAGGCATCACTGGCCTAAACCCCCAGCAGCCAGAAGGGCCACTGTGCCCCAGCAGGTGCCAGGACCTGGGGTGCCCCATCTGGCTCACCCATGGAACCTTTCTCCCCCACAGAACTGGTGCATCAAGCGGCGATCCCAGTCCATCTACCTGCAGGTGCTGACAGACAAGCACGCCCCCGAGCACTACAGGTACCGGGTGCTCCTGAAATGGAAGGGGCACGGTGGGTGCCAGCCTCCTCCACAGCTGTCAGTGCCATACAAAATGGGGTGGGCAACCTTTGGGGTGCTGGTGCCACCAGATTTTGGGTGGATATCCCTGGGGGAGGGGATGGGGTAGTGCTGGGATGAGCAGGTGCCCTCAGCAGGACCCATGGCAGCAGCAGGGGCAGGGAGTGCCCAGCTCTGAGGTGCCCTCCTGTCCTGGCAGGGTCCTGGGCAGTGTCTCGCAGTTTGAGGAGTTTGGACGGGTTTTCCACTGCCCCAAGAACTCTCCCATGAACCCGGTGCACAAGTGCTCAGTGTGGTGAGGCCGATCCCCCTCTGGCAGGCTGGCAGCCCCCATCCTCATCCCTTCCTGAGTCCCACCCTGTGCCCACTCCCCACCTTTCCGTCTCCCCTTCCTACTCTTCAGGCATAAGGGGCACCCCCA